AATTGACAACATCTAGTTAGATGAAACAAGGAAAAACTAAAAGTCACAAAGTGTCCATATCAACTTCAGAAAAGAGGGCATCAAGACAGATCCTGCATTTAAAAGATGAGGAAATATTAYAAACATCTTTATCTCCATAAACTCAAAAACACAGATGAAATGAAGAAAAAATTCCTGAAAGAAAAATGTTTACAGCAGCTTCATTCATAAGAGCCAAAAACTGGAAAGAACCCAACCAACTGTAGTTTTACCACTGAGCCAGATACAGATAATATACTATGTTATCCCATTTACATGAAATTCTAGAAACTGAACTGTAGTTCAGAAAACAGATTGTCAAGAGTCACAAAGAAAGAGAATTGACTGCAAAGGGGCACACAAGGAACTGCTGAGGTAATGAAAAGCTTTCTATCATGACTGTAGCACATACATAATTGCATACATTTGTCAAACTTCAGACTTTACCCTTGAAACTAGTATGTTACATTGTATGCAAACCATGCCTCAATAAAAAAGTGCATGTTACTAATCCTACTGTTAATATTTTAAATGTATGATTTACTCAGTTTTTTTTTTACTTCTCCCTTAAACAATCCCCATAAACAGGGATACCAAACTTGAAAGCAAAAGAACTTATACAAAGTCAATCAAGACTGTCCCTCTAAACTAACTTTCCTACATGCTTTCATAAAGAATAGACGCTAACTGAGAGACCTCATGACTTTCTAGTTCCTATGCAGGCCAACTTTGCTTTTCTAGCTGTAGTTGTTACTTGTAAGTCATTAAATCCTCTTAGTGGATCTGATCACTATCGTTTTTTTTTCCCMAAAAAATAATGAGAGAGGAGTGAAGAAAAGTGGAAAGAAATAGGAAATAATCAGAGTTCATTATGCTTAAAACATTAAATATTGGTTACAAAAACTTTGTTTTAAACTGAGACCCAGTTTGTAGTTTTCTATGATTAGGCTAGCAAAAAAAATAAATAAATAAAAAATATGCTACCTCTTACTGTGGGTCGTAGTCAAAAAAAAAAAAAAAAAAACAAGTTTGAAAACCATTGCTATAGGACAAAATAGGCTAGCAGTATAAAAGAGATGAAGATCAGTAGGAATACTGCACTACGGACAAATGGTGTGAGGGACAAGGGAGAAAAGAGAAAGTCAAAAGAACTCCTAAGCTCCAAAAACACTCAGGGACACTTTGATGGATATCTCAGCATTGTTAAGTCCATATTCCATTTTTTCCAACTTACTTTTTCAAACTGATCTCCTCTAGCTCTCCCTCCTCCCAACCTTGTGCCTCTGAGGAAACCTCCTTCCCAACCCAGGTATCCACAATGGATAGTAATAAACTAAACTGCACCTATACCCAGAGAATGCTCACTGCTCAACGTCTATAACACTGCCTAGAAACCCCAACACTATGGTAATCCTTCATTCTTTTAACAAGACTGTCMTGTGAAATTCAATTCTGATATTAACTCTCAAGAAAAAAACTTTAAATGAGGCATACTTTTGCAGGCCTTTAACCAAACAACTTAAAGGGATGGGTTTTTAGCATAAATGCTTCCCGTATGTTCATATTTAATGTTTCTAACATACCGTTATTCAAACCTGTGACTACAGCAGAACTATTTTTATATGCCTTTTCTCGAGTTCTACCAAATGGCTATTCACATTAAGAAATTCTAAATGAAAAGCACACATGGAATGTATATGTTATGAGGGTGGCAGACTTTAATTAGAAAACATACTGCCAGAACCTATCAGAGCGCCAGTGGCAAATGCTTCCCTGAGCTCTAACACACCATAAATAGTTTAAAGAGTCCTCAAAATATCCATCTACCCTTTCCCTTCTCACAGCTTCACATTGATCTACAGCACACATCTCCTGTAAGGCTCAGCTGCAAATGTGTCACACTACCTCTCTGTCATATATCAGAAAATGTTTGTAAAATAGAGTAAAAAGGGACAGAACTGAGAGCAGCAGTTCAATACACTTCTGCCTAAATGCAACTCATCAAACCCCTATGAGGAAGGGAGAGATTAATCCTGCCTCAATACAAATAAAGGAACACGAAAATAATGGATCTGTAAAGGTCACAGAGCTATGTAGTAGAGAAGTCTGTCTCTCAACAAGACTCTTCTGATTCTAAATCCAACACTCTTTCCACACACTCTATGTCAGTTAACAGCAAGTAAGGAAGAATCTACTCTTTGGTATCTCTAGTCCAAAATGGCTATGCTTATTTTCAGACCTCTGGGACAATGGACCCAGCTGCCATAACTGGACGACCTGCTTGATCTTACTGTGGAGACAAGCTAAAGACAAGACCAGAAAAGAACAGCAAGAATGAGAAGATTACCATTAATCAGGGACAAGAAGTGGGAGGGAATGGGAGAGAGAAGGGGAATTCCATGGAAATGGAAGGAGACCCTCATGGTTACACAAAATTACATATAAGAGGATGTGAGGGGAAAGGGGAAAAAAAAACAAGAGAGAGAAATGAATTACAGTAGATGGGGTAGAGAGAGAAGATGGGAGGGGAGAGGATGGAAGGGGGGATAGGAAGGGGATAGGAAAGGCAGCAAAATACAGCAGACACTAGTATGGCAGTATGTATAAACGTGGATGTGTAACCAATGTGATTCTGCAATCTGTACATGTGGTAAAAATGGGAGTTCATGACCCATTTGAATCAAATGTATGAAATATGACATGTCAAGAGCATTGTAATGYTTTGAACAACCAATAAAAAAAAAAAGAATGAGGAGACAGCAGTTCAGTCATCAAGTCCACGTGAAGATGGCCAAGGAGGAATTCAGAAGAGAAGGTCATTCATGCACCTAAGATGAAAGCAGGGCAAGGCAGCAGTCACCACCAGGTAGGCAGGTGGTCAGAAAGACTGGCAGGAGGTCCTCAAAAACAAACACTGAAATGTTTACTAGTGCCAGACAACATGCTGGCTGCTGGAAATATTAACACCACAATGTCCCTGCCTTCAAAGGTTTAAACTAGTGAAAAAGTCAGATAAATGATGAAGTGCTAAAACTATCCACTAGGTGCTCAAAGTGTGGACCCTACCAAGGGCAGTTGCAAGAAGGAGGGTAATGGTAAGGAGTAGTAACAGGATGGAGATAGACTTAACAAAGGCTCCACTGAGAATAAATCCACTTGTTCATATAAGATAGAGCAAGATGGTTTCTAGAATGGCCTGTTGTAGACTCCACCACCATGTATAATATGACTCCATTTATGTGAAATTTTCAAAACAGGCAAATGCATGGAGATGGGAAATAGACTAGTAGTTTCCTGAAGCTAAGGGAGCTGAGGGAAAATGAGGAGTATGAGCTCATTTTAAGGAATTAAGCTTTTTTTTGAGGATGATGAAAATGTTCTACAGTTGATTGTAGTAGTGGTTAGATTTCTCTTGCAMATATACTAAGAACTAAATTAAATACTTTTAGTGGGTGAAATGAATGCTATATATATCAATAAAGCTGTGATAAATCTATCATCGTATGGTTCTGTGTTCTTATAAAAATTCATGCAAAAATTGCAACTGGTTATTATTGCCCTAAGAAGTCATTTGAGACTGGGATAAGTTAGCACAGTAAGTGTACAGGACTTGGAGCTGCCTGGAACATCTCTCTTTCAAGGTGAGAAATAATTATGTAGACTACATAAGTGTTCCATATAACTATTGTCTTTTTTTGAGAGAGAAGGGGAGAGAGAGAATTTTTGTATATGGACACAACACAATGCCTTTATTTTTAYGTGGTGCTGAGAATCAAACCCAGGTCATGCCCGTGCTAGGCGGGCGCTCTACCACTGAGCCACAATCCCAGCCCATCACTATTGCTTTTTAAATACTAATGCAATCACACAGCATTTTTCAGTCAACAATGGACTACATATACAGTGGTATACATCATACAGACTAAATGTGTAATAAGCTATACCACCTAGGTTGTGTACATAACATTCTATGATGCTCACACAACGAAATTACCTAATAATACACTTCTCAGAACACATTCTTGTTGTTAAGCAAAAATAACTATATGTGAACTACATGTGAACAAATGTTATACTAAATAATTTTCACAAATATCCTTTTCTTAGATACTATTTAGAGGGAAACAAACATTCTAAWTTTTTAAATCATTTGTATCAAGGTCTATGTCTCATTCACCTTTACATGTGTACCTTACCCAGGTGCCAAAGACATCACTTTGGATATCAGAGGAGCTAACATTTTGAGTGCTTAGTATGATGTAGTCACTCTACTTCATGCTTAATACATAGTGAAGCTGAATTCACACACCTGGTCAAAGGAGTGCTGTGCTTTTCCCTCTATGTCATGCTTACATAACTGTGATATTATTGCTTATTTGGGCTTTGTTCTTTTTGTATTTCTTTACCATTAACCATGAATTACACTAGAAAATGAATTTCTCAGAAAAACTTAGCTAAATATGCTAATATTTGTATTACAAGTATCTGCAATGTTGCTTTAAGGTATTAAGTACCCATGAGAGACTATTATTAACAACATGAAGAACACACATATTAAGGATATGTCTGGATTTCATTTATAAACAAAATTTCTAAAATATATGCATATTTTAGTCTGCTTTACTTTAATTAGCAACTACATATTTCTGAAAAGCTGACACATCTCAAGTGATTTTTTTCCTACCTCTTTTGGAAGTGTGCAATTCATCCCCAAAGAATGACAGCTGATTTGAATRATTCAAAGCTGACTAACAATTTGTAATTAAACAAATTTTTTAAATTAACATATTGACTATTCCCTTTCTCAATTAAAGGCAACAACTTTATGTGTTTTGTCAGTAATCCCTCTTATTTTAGCACTATAAACAGTAAATTCCCAATGCATCAGTTTTTAGCAATTCCAAAGGAGTTAACACACATACCATGAGAATTACATGGTTAATTAAAATTCATGACAAAAGAAATGTTGAGGATAACCTTACCATATCATCCGTCAGTGTTCTAATATTTAAATGCTGCAAATGAAAAAAAAAAATCAATGAGTAATTTATAACAGCTTTTTTATTTTAGTTAATAGATGACATTTGAAATTCTACAATACTAACTTGAAGGTAATTAAGTTCCTGACAGTCTAACAAAAATGCATTATATACTGTTTTAATCTCTCTCTCAAAAA